AAAAAAAAAAAAAAAAAGTCCAGGGTGTGGTCCTGTTTTGAGTTCTCATTATTGATATTCTGTCTTGTTTCTGATAGGCGTGGCTGCTCTCTGCGGTTCTTCTCTGCTTACCCCGGCCTGGTTATTCATTCACATTATCCTACTCGGTGCTCACGCACATAATCACTAGACCTGGGGTTCCTAGAGAAACCAAAGATGTACCATCAGAATATTCTGTTCTAAGAGCTCTTGGAATGATTATTTTTACCATCGTGCCTCTGTCCCCAACTAGCTTTTAATTTGTTTTCTTTCTCTCTCCCAACTTGTTATGCAATCGGGTTTATGTACTTCCGTTTGTTTTCCTTTTCTTTTTTTTTTTTGAGATATTTTTGCTGTAGGGCATGTGCTCTTGCTGGAAAGAAAAGAATAGACCGAGAGAAAGCAAGAAATCACTCCCCTCAGGAGGGGGGATGGCCACGCCACAATCCTTTCTCCTCTATTGTCCTCTCGGTATTTTGGGCACGCACGCACATGCGCCTGGCGTGAGTTTCTACCTGCCAGGTTCGGGGCTCGAACCACATTCAGCCACATAGGAGTCCAGTGCCTTAACCTCTATGTGACCTGCTGTCCCCCAATTTCTTTCTTTTTTTTTTTTTTTTTTTTTTTTTTTTGTTTCGTAAAGATTTTGCTATAGGGTGTGTGCACTCAACCAGAGGGAGAGAGAAGGTGAGAATTCACCCCCGGGGGGATGGCCATGTCGTAGTCCTTGTCTTCCATTCTCTGCTTGGGATTTGGAGCGTGCACGCATGCACGCACACATGCCTGCTGTGGTCCTAAAGCTTCTGGGTCCGGGACTCGAACCATAAGATCCAGCACCTTTCCCTCCCTGGCACCTGCTGTCCCCTTGTTTTTCATTTCTTATAGTTTCCCACACACACACACTGAATATTATAAAATCTTTATAGTTCCAAAGTCAATCTATACAAGGAGACTTTATAAAGTTAGTGAAAAAGTGGAGTTAAGTATGTTTGTTTTGGTGCAAAAAAAAAATTTTTTTTTTAATCCGTGCCTAAGGACCAGTCCCGTAGTCTAGTGATTGAGGGAGCCAGATTCCACATGGTTGACCAGGGTTTGATTTCTTTCCTTAATGGCTTGAAAACATAAGATTTTTTTTTTTTTTTTTGGAGGCATTTTTGCTATAGGGCGCATGCACTCGCCAGAAACAGACAGAGAGACAGAAAGTGAGAAATCACCACCACCACCACCCCCCGGGTATGGCCACGCCGCAATCCCTTCTCCTCCATTCTCCTCTCGGGATCTTGGGCACGCACGTACACGCGCCCGGCGTGTGTTTAAGCCACAGGGTCCGGGATTCGAACCGCGGTCGACTACTCTGACGAGTGCACGTGTCCTATAGCAAAAATCTTTCAAAAAAAGGAAAAACACATAGATGCACGTTCATATTTCCCCAGAATCCCGACAGGAGGCTGGAGGAGAAGGGATTGCCACATGGCCATCTTCCATGAGGGGGTGCTTTCTCACTCCCTGGCACCCCCATTTCAATGTCTCTGGAGAACACTTGTGCCCTATAGCAAATTAAATTAAAAAAAAAAAAAACCTATTCTTGTGACTCTCAACAACTTAAATGAGTGATGGAGGCATTGTATAGAGTGAAAGAAGCCTTTCTCGGAATGTTCCATGAGGTTCCATCCCACTGACTTGGCTGTCTTCCAAAGACACAGCTTTGGTAGCACGGAATATACCAGTGGTCGCCAGGTTCAGGGTGAGGGGCCCAGTACAAAGGATAAGCCCTGTGGGTGTTTTGTCAGGTCCAAGCTATTCTGGATCCAAATTGTCGTGATTGGTACGTGTGTAAAAATGCCTGGAACTGGGACCAGCAGGTGGCATGGCGGTTCAGGTGCCAGACTCCCCCATGGTGACCGCGGTTTGAGTCCCAGCCCTGGTGGTTTGCTTCCTCACTTTCTCTCTCTCTCTGCCTCTCTGGTCAAATTTAAATAACTACATAAATAACATTCAATAAAATAATTCTTAAAAAAAATGCCTGGTGGGACCAGCAGTTGGCATAACGGCTATGTCACTGGACTCCTATGTAGTCGACCACAGTTCGAGTCCTGGACCCGGTGGCTTAAACTCACACCAGGCGTGTGTGCGTGCGTGCCCAAGATCCCGAGAGGAGAATGGAGACGGGATTGCAGCGTGGCCGTCCCCTTAGGGGATGACTTTTCACTTTCTGTCTCTCTGTCTCTTTCTCTCCAGTGAGTGCATATGCCCTATAGCAAAAAAAAAAAATAAAAACAAAAAAAACTTCTCTAAAAGAAATAAATAATAAGTAAAATTACATGAATAAATAAATAATTATTAAAAATACTTATTTTGGATGGGGCAGCAGGTGGCGTGGTGGTTAAAGGTGCTGGACTCCCACATGCTTGACTGCAGTTCAAGTCCCGGGCCTGATGGCTTGCTTTCTCACTTTCCCTCTCTTTCTCTCTCTGTCCCTCTCTAGTCCAATTAAATAAATGAATAAATAAATAAAGTTAAATAAAAAATTGTGGGGCTGACAGGTGGTGCGGTTAAGAAGCTAGACTCCCACATGGCCAACCACGGTTTAAGTCCTGGACCCGGCAGCTTGGTTTTCTCACTTTCTCTTCTTTCTCTCTCTCTCATTAAACTAAAAAGTGATAATAATAAATAAAATAATATTCTTTTTAAAAAAATTCTTTTAAAAAAATTAATTCATTTCTTTTTATCCACAACGGAGCCCTCGTATGTGCATGTGAGAAAGAGAGAGACAAGCATCCCCGCAGGGTCTGGCCACTCCAGGATCCCTTTCCTCCAGCCCTCCCGCCCTTTCCGCTTGGCCGGGCTGGGGATTCGAACTGTGGTCCCGTGAACCGTGAGGTCCAGCTCCCGTTGAGCAGTGTACTACCGTCGTGGCATGGAGCGGGCCCTGCTCTGAGCTCCTCCCTCACCCGTCTCCACCTCTCTGAACCTCCTCATCAGGAGATGGTGGGGGACTGTGGTGCTGGGAGGCTCAAAGGTCAAAGGTCACGCAGCTACAGCGCTCAGTATCACCTGACCACCTCCTGGGCTGTCTGCTCCCCGCCGTGTCGGGAGGGTGGAGCCGGGGACTGGGCGGCGGCTGCGTGCGCTGAACATCATCCCTGCGGCCCCCGTCCCTGCAGACCTACGTGTCCGAGTGGCCCTGGACGCTCCTGCTCTTGGCCGTCAGCGGCTTCTGCAACTTCGCCCAGAATGTCATCGCCTTCAGCATCCTCAACCTCATCAGCCCCCTGAGCTACTCGGTCGCCAACGCCACCAAGAGGATCATGGTCATCACCGTGTCCCTGATCATGCTGCGCAACCCCGTCACCAGCACCAACGTCCTGGGCATGATGACGGCTATCCTGGGGGTCTTCCTGTACAACAAGGTGCGTCTGGGGGCGGCCGGGGGGGGGTGCTGTGCCCTCGATGCCTGGGGAGCCCCTGAGGATTGGTGGAGGTGAGAAAGGAAGGAACTCCAGGGACCAGCAGATGGCATCATGGCTATGTTGCTGGACTCCCACATAGTTGACCGCGGTTCGAGTCCTGGACCCGGTGGCTTAAAGGACTTGAACTGCAGTCGACCATGTGGGAGTCCAGCAATGTAACCACTAAGCCATCTGCTGGCCCCAAGGCTCGCCTTCTGAATCCATCCAGACTCCAGGGCCTGGTCGATTATCCACTCGCTGGTCATGCCTGAGAGCCTGGCTTAGGTCAAAACCTGTGTTGGCCTTGGGAACCAGCAGTTAGCATAATGGCTATGTCGCTGGACTCCCATGTAGTTGACTGCGGTTCGCGTCCTGGACCCGGTGGCTTAAACTCACGCCGGGCGCATGTGCGTGCGTGCCCAAGATCCCGAGAGGAGAATGGAGGAGAAGGGAGTGTGGCGTGGCCATTCCCTCTGGGGGGTGATTTCTTGCTTTCTGTCTCTCTGTCTCTCTCTGTCTGGCTGGTGAGTGCACGCGCCCTATAGCGGAAACCCTCCCCCCCCAAAAAGAAAAACAAAAATAACTTGTGTCGGCCTCGAAGGGCTGATTGGCTTCGACTCGGGTGTGTTTAACCAATGAGCTGCACTGTCTCATCGCTCCCTTTCCCACGCAGACCAAGTACGATGCAAACCAGCAGGCTAGGAAGCAGCTCCTGCCCCTCTCAGCCGCAGACCTGAGCAGCCGGGAGCATCATCGGAATGCCCTGGAGAAACCCCACAACGGCATCCCGTTCCCCCAACACGGGGACTATCAATATGGCCGCAACGTCTTAACAGATCACTTCCAGTACAGCCGCCAGAGCTACCCAAACTCCTACAGTTTGAACCGTTATGACGTGTAGACTCGGACGACAGGGCGAGACCGTCACATGACAGCTCCAGCCCCCAGCAGTATCAGCAACTTCTAACAGCCGCCGGATGTACGACCCAGCCCAGGGGACGGGGCAGGACCGACCCCGAGAAGACCCTGTCGTTCCCGGCCCGCTGTGCTTGGCAGCAGGACCGGTCTGCGGTGTGGACGGCCCTGGGCTGCGGGCAGAGAAGAATCTCAACAGAGAACGGGTTTTCCGCTTGCTCCTTCCTGAAGTCTGTCATCCGAGGGCCGTGTCTCTCCAGAGATCTCTGCCACAATTCCCCACACAGTGTCTTTCAGAGTTCACGATCCGCTTTCCAGATAACACGCAGGACCCTATCTGGAGAAGTGGGATCATGACAGATCCAGACCAGGGAGCTGGCACATGGCGGTTTCCTGGAGGGAGTAGGGGGACAAGGGGAAGGTGAAAAGTGGTGCTTCGGAAGGACACGTGGTTTTTATATTTGCCAGAGGGTGCGGGTGCATTTCAGAGACAGAAAGGGAAAGGAGAAAGGATCCCCATGGGGGATGGCCATGCCGCGATCCCTTCTCCATTCTCCTCTCGGGATTTTGGGCATGCACGCACGCACACCCGGTATATTCTCAATCCGCCAGGTCCGGGACTCGAACTGTGCGGTTGGACGTGTACTTGGCCGTGTGCTGTCCAGCCACCTTACCCACCTGCCATAGAGCCGGCCTGATCATGTTGAATTCCATGCACAGGTACGCGTAGGACACAGGCTCGCAACAGAAAGGAACTCAGCGGGGTTCATTAAGTACATTTCCAGCAATAGACACACCCAGCGTTGGGGGACCCTTTGCAATCCCTACAAATGCTTCCAAGTGAAAAAGTGCTATGATGAGGATGCCATGCTTGGAGCCTGGTACCGTGACCTATAATTGGGAATCAGCACCCACCCAGATCCAGAGGGAAAAGAAAGCATTCACTTGACCGAGCAGGGCACGTCTCTGCGGGTCGTAACCAGGATCTTAGGAAACTATATCTAGTGTCCAAAGCTGTGATTTCCTTCTTTCTTTTCTTTTCTTTTCTTTTCTTTTATTTGGAGATGTATTTTTTGCTATAGGGCACGTGTGCTCACCAGAAAGGCAGAGAAAGACAGAAAGTGAGAGATCACCCCACAGGGGGCATGGCCACGCCGCAATCCCTTCTCCTCCATTCTCCTCTCAGGATCTTGGGCATGCATGCACACGCGCCCGGCGTGAGTTTAAGCCACCGGGTCCGGGACTCAAACTGCGGTCGGCTACATGGGAGTCCAGCGACATAGCCATGACGCTAACTGCTAGTCCCTTCTTTTTTTTTTTTTTAAGAATGATCCATTTATTGCATTGTATTTGTTATGATCATTTTAAAATTTGACCAGAGAGAAAGAAAGAGAAAGCTAGAAAACAAGCCACCAGGTCCAGGACTTGAACCAGAGTTGACCACGTGGGAGTCCACCACCTCAACCACCATGCCATCTTGCTGGCTCCCAAAGTTCTTATTTTTGTAGCACTTGTCTTTTGCGGGGAGTCTTCACCACTTCTACCATAAAGTCGTGGGGTATCCCATGAGGAGAGCTTGGTTTTAAGAGGATCTTCCATTTTTCTAGGGAAGATTTTGGAATTATGTGTGTGTCTTTATATGCCAGGGACCTTTTTAGGACTGGCTTATGGAGCCGAAACCATTTTGTTTCTAGATGGGTAAAAACCGGAAGTGTTCTGGCTTTCCTATCTGACACACGTGGATACTTAGTAACAAGCAATGACAACTGTGGTTTCAGGTTTTTGCCATACGGCATGTGAGTTCACCAGAGAAAGACCGAGCAAGTGAGAAATGACCCCTCAAGGGGGATGGCCATGCCACAGTCCCTTCTTCTCAGTTGTTCTCTTGAGATTTTGGGTGCCTGCATGCATGTGCATGGTGTGTTGAAGCTGCTGGATCCAGGACTCAAACTGTGAGCCGGCCATGTGGGAATCCAGTGGCTTCATCACCACGCCACCTGCTGGCCCCAGCAGTGAAGTGTTTCGTAGCTCCTTTCAAGGATAGCCGCTGCAAATGGAATGAATCAAGGATGGGATCTCAGTGTCTTGTGCCACTGCGCTTTGATTCTCTGACCCATTTCCCGTGTGTCCCTTAGGGTCCGAATCATGTCCTACTTAAGGGGACCAGGGAGAAACGCCCAGGGTGGGTTTGGTTTGCTGATATTCTTTTTTTCTTTTTTTGGAGAGGTTTTTGCAATAGGGCATGTGTGTGCGCTCCCCAGAAAGATAGAGAGAGAGAGATGGAAAGCGAGAAATCACCCCCCGAGGGGATGGTCACGCTGCAATCCCTTCTCCTCCATTCTCCTCTTGGGATCTTGGGCACGCACGCACACACGCCCGTCGTGAGTTTAAGCCACCGGGTCCGGGACTCGAACTGTGGTCGACTGCATGAGAGTGCAGCGACATAGCCATGACGCTAACTGCTGGTCCCATTGCTGAGATTCTTTGATGAGGAGGAAGATGGGGTTAGGGCCAAATCACAGCAGGAAAATTCTAGATCCACAGAAGATATCGCCATGTACCACAGGGTAGGTTGTGGTCTGTCTGTCATTGTGTTGTGGAAGGACCGTGCCCTCACGGAGGGGGACCCATGGCTAGGCATGTTGGGTCTTCAGCGATGGACATTTATCTCCTGGTGAGACGTCTCCCCATTCATACAGAAAGGTCCCTCTGCTTATGCTTAACGCCTATGCTTTTTCTTTGTCTGTTCCTTTCTTTTATTTTTTAGAGGTTTTTTTATTTGCTATAGGGCGTGTGCGCTTGCCAGACAGACAGAGAGAGACAGAGAGACAGAAAGCGAGACATCACCCCCCAGGGGGGAATGGCCACACCACAATCCCTTCTCCTCCATTCTCCTCTCGGGATCTTGGGCAGGCACGCACACGTGCCCAGCGTGAGTTTAAGCCACCGGGTCCGGGACTCGAACTGTGATTGGCTACATGGGTGTCCAGCGACATAGCCATTATGCTAACTGCTGGTCCCTTTGTTCCTTTCGATCATTGGAGTCTTGTAGGTAAGGTGTTAAATCTCCTCCTCTTGGGAACGGGCCCCTCGGGAGAGATCTTGGGTTCTCCCGCTTGCCCGTGTATTCATGGCACCGTCGGCCTCAGGACAATCCTGTTTAAGTTGTCTGTTATTTCCTCGCTTTAGAAAGACTGTGGTCCCAAGGTTCTTTTTTATAATTGTTTGTTTGTTTGTTTCCAAATTGCTATGAGTGTGTGTGTGGGTGCACTCACCAGAGAGACAGAAAGTGAGCAATCACCCCGCAGGGGGGATTGCCATGCCGCAATCCCTTCTCCTCCATTCTCCTCTCGGGATCTTGGGCACGCACGCACACACACGCACGCCCGTTGTGTTTTTCAACCTGCCGGGTCCGGGACTCGAACTGTGCTGTCAACCATTGTACTGCGGGAAAGAGGCAATCCTGGAACATGTTATTTGTGGAAGGACATGGTCGACTGTGATGGGATCTGCAATGGAAGTTTTCTCATTTTAAGTTAAAAAAAAAAAAAAACAACCAATAAGGTCATTCGCACTTCCGAGGTGTTACCGTAGTGACCGACAGGATGGTAGGAAGTGATTCCTTCAACTTGTAACTCCCAAAGCAATTCTGCCTCCGCGTTCAGGTTTAATGAAATTTCTGATGTTGCTGGGGAAAATGACTGTCTGGTTTTATCATGGTTGTTAAATTAATAAATGGGCTATTTAATTCTGTACATAGATTTACAGCAAGTGCGTACACTGGGGCCAAGGACACAGTCGTGTCAGACCAAATCGTCAGATGGACAAAAGATATATTCCTTTTTTTATAGATAGTCAATCATTGTACTTTTGTTTTAAAAGAATTATTCAATTTTTAAATTTATTCATTCATTTCTTTTCATTTTATCAGAGAGAGACACAGAGGGGAAGGGAGAAAAGCAAGCACCAGGTCCAGGACTTGAACCATAGTCAGCCATGTGGGAGTATCCAGTGCCTTAACCACCATGCCACCTGCTGGCCCCTTTTTTATTTTTTTTTAGATTTTTACTACAGGGTATATGTGCTCACCAGAGAAAGATAGACAGAGAGAAGGAAAGTAAGAAAAATCACTCTCTGGGGGGGATGGCCATGCCACAGTCCCTTCTCCGTTCTCCCCTCATGATTTTGGGCATGCACACACATACACACCAGTGTGAATTTCAAGCTTCTAGGGCCGCGACTTGAACCACAGTAAGTCATGTGGGAATCCACTACCAAGCCACCTACTGGCTCTATAGTTTTTTTTTTTTTTTTTTTGGAGAGGTTTTTTCTGTAGGG